GCCGTAAAGCAGAACGACGCCGCCGAAGAGCAGGCCTATATCCCATTCGTAGTCCATTTACGCCCAGACAAAATCGAGATTGTACAGGTCCGTATTTTCCTCAATGGTCTTGGAATAATCTAACAAAATAAATGATTATTTTCATAGAACGGAGTGCACATATTTTTCACAATACTTTAATCGCTGGAAGTACTTGAATCACCGTTCGAATAGTTAATATTAATTATTTCATGATCAATTTGAATATCGATCATATTGTTCAGATCCCACATATTTGTTTCGATTGTCCTTGAACGTGACGGATGCAATATTTCCAATGGTTTGCCGTCACTCTGTTGACAGCTTCATAAAACAAATTTTTCACGTCAGAAAATTTGAATGTTCTATTGTTTGAAACCACATAGTTTTTTATATTTGCCCAAATCATTAAAATGGGATTTAATTCGCAGTGATAAGGGGGTAGCCTTCAAACGGTCTTATTATGGATTTTAGCCATTTCGTCAATACATTAAGGTTATATTTATATTTGTGCTGCCCGACTAGATGGGTAAGTTCTAAGTTCTGCTTTGACCGTATTTTTATTAAAACTAATGTCTTTTGATCGGATCCATTGTTGAATTTCTGCCTTCTTAGATAGCAAATCGTTTTCCTTTTCCTTGAAATAATTATTTCATATGTTATTCAAGAAAACTAATAATAATACAAGCAGAGTATCTAACAGGTGTTGGTTCCAAATCTACCAGATTTAGTTAAGTTTAGTGTAGCTAAGTTTTCAGCAACACAAATGACGAACTGGTTAGATACAGGTACCTGACGGATTCTTTGAGCCAGTGGTTAGTCCATCTACGAAGGCTTGTCTTGCTGATCTAATTGTAGAGTCAGCCCATACTTTAGGTTTTGCATGTCCTTCATTCATTCAGGTTTCATCCAAGTAATAAATCTTCCTACCCTAACATATAAACACACGCTATGTATGCACCGAATAGGAACAGCAACTGTCGGCGTCGGCGTGCCGGCGATACCCCGAGCCTGAGTTCTATCCTGTCGAATCCTGCACTTGTTCGTAGTTTTATGGGCGAATGACCAATAGCTATTGCGACGCTCAGGCGGCTGCCGCTTTGCCGCGCTGCATCTTTGTTGTGCCGGAGCGTAAATGGACTACGAATAAGGTGTAGACGGCTAATCCAACAAGCTGGTGAATTTCAGCATGAGCGTCGAGGACTGAGTGCAGGTTTACTGATAGACATGGCGACAATCAAAGCAGTATAAACACACAACCAACACCGATGGAGACATGAAACGTAATGGCGGCGTAGTAAGAGACCGCCCAACAGTGCCTGAGGAAGACGCCGGATGTTGATGCTACACCTCCCATAGGGAGACGGCGAAAAAAAAAATGAAGAAAGGTGTCAACAGCAAAACAATTTGCTGTCCGCCGACTCTAATGTAAGTTTAGGGCTAGAGTTAGCAAGTGGTCCTAGGCGGATAGGCGAGATACATTTAGAATGAGGGTTCTATCAGGTGCGCAGATTTGGTGTTGGCTTGGACAAAAACAGAGTTTCATTGTAAAATATCTTTCGATATATTCTTTTTCAATTCTACATATCCGGGTCTGTAATGGAATATTTTTTGATTGATGTTTACCTGCTCTTCTAAGAACGGGCATTGCTCGAGCTTCGCGAAGGTTAAAACGAAAGGTTGTTCTATTTGTCTTAATCATCATGATCAACAGGTGAAAAAAACTGGTGTAATCAGTGGAAGTCAGCTTTTAGTGGTACAAAATGTTGTAATCATTTTAATGAGCTCTTGCTATATGACGCAACTGGAATTTCCAAAATGATGATCGAAATACTTGGAAAAGATCGCAATTGCTAGTAGAGGAATACAGGGTGTCCCAAAAATGGACGTCAAGCCGGAAACGGGGGATAGGCCAAGTGACACTAGCTATCAGAAAATATAAGATGTGTACTTATCAAATTATAGGCCTCAAAAAAAATCTGAAGAATCTGGAAAATCTACATCCTGTGATGATCTTTTAGTTCCCATGACGACAAGTTTCAATGATTTTCCTAGACGGAGTAACGGACAGTCTCATTCTATGTAGTGACAGTAAGACAGATAGTAACGCCGCTTGTATTGATTCGTGAATGTATTTATTAACATGTTGGCTGGCGTGAGTCACAAATGTGGCGTCTCAGGTTGTTTTCGATAACAGCCGAGTGACACACCTTAGTTGTCTCGTCAGAAATTCTGTAATATAGCCGTGTGAGCCTGGGTGGTTGTCTCAGTCCTATATAAGTAATATGGGACTGAAAGATCATGGCTGTAAATGTCTAAAACTGTTTTTGGTTTTTGGATCCGTGACCTATAAGTGGTTACTCATGGCCTGATATATACGTAGATAATAAAACGAAAGGTATTCAAAAAGGAACCTCCTTATGAAGTGGAATACAACAAAAAATATATTTCTCATAAATATAGAACAAAAAACATGAAAATGTATAATAAAAACAACAATTATTTTGTGCACTTATGTACCTGGAAAAGACTTAATGCAAAAATATTTTTCACATGCCGTGCACTTTAGTTTTGTTCGCGGAGTTTTTCTTTGAGCATGTGCTCGCCCAGATTCTCTTTGAAGTTTTTCATAACAAAAAGCGCATCGACGTCGGTTGTTGTTACCAACATCTTCCAAAGAATGTTGATGATCTTCAAAAATACTATGCGTATGCTGATCAACGTCAAAGCCTAAGAGTCTGTTTACGATTTCCTGCTTGAATTTTGTGATGGACATTTTTTCGTTGGCTACTTCTTGGTGCAAAACATGTGCATTTACTAATGCACTACCAATAAGAAGCTCAATGGCCAGCTTGCGGTACCACTTCACCCGTCTGCGTAATGAGGTGGTATAAGACTTCATTTGATCCGACAATCAATATAGGCTTTATGTTTGTTGTAGTCAACCACAGCAGCAGGTTTTTGCAATTCTTTATTATTGCCAGATCTGATGATTAGTAACTCATCGGTGTGTTTTGTGGATAAGGTAAGCACATATCTTTTGTCCTTCCACTTCTGGATAATTATACCTGAGTTGCTTTCAGCTGCCCCAGTTTCTCCTTTTTGAGCTTTTTATCAACAACTTGTTTAGGATTCATTTTTCGATTGGATTGGAGAGTCCCAACCAAGTGAGTGTTCCTTGCAAGTAATACACTTGCCAACTCGATACTTGTATAATAATTGTTCGTATAAATTGTCCGTTCCTTGTCAAACAAGTCCTTTGCAAGAGCGAGCACTACTTCTTGGGATGAAGATTTACCCTCTACACAAGTTTTATAGCTTCTTAGGAAGACTGGAGCACATCTGATGAACACTGCAGAAACTAGACTGAGACATCACTGATAGCATTCGCTTCTAATACATTGTTCGGCTCGCACCGGTCGACAGGTCGATACAAGTCGGTGAGACACAACATTTGTTGCACGCGGCCATTGGGTAAAACTTGATATGTTGAGGCCGCGTGACCATGCGGTGGGTCTCATCAAGAAACGTGTAAAAGAATATGAATAAAATTGTTTTTGGGAACACAAAACACGCTAGGGTCTTCTAGAATACTGAAACTAGTATTTGGAAGAATAAAAAAGGTGGCCCCAGGGACCGATTTTTCTTTAGTATTACGGCAGTCAACGTTTTAAATTCACAACAAATGTTCAAACTGCCTTCCTTCAGTAGCAATGCAAGCTTGACATCTTAAAAATGATCGGGTTATCGAAGGGGCGAATTTTCCGTTATTAACAAATTCAGTTGCTTCCGTTATTTTCTCCCGTAGCTCAGTTAAATTTTCAGTGGGCTTCGAAAAAAATCTTTCTTTCACTTTTTTCTCTAAAAATCGCTGATCTCGGTGTCTCTGTAACATTGTTTGACAAAACTCAACTCTTGGAAGATAATTCCAGCGATTAGATTGTACTCGCTGTACGTTGTACGGGTGGGGCTCGTTCTTTCGCATGATTCGATGGGCATTCCCGTGCTTGCTTCTATTTGACGTACTGAAGTACTCGGGTCTTTTTCGACTGCACCACAATTCTTCCTTCACCGTGTGCTTGATTTGGGAATCCTCCCTCTGAGGATCAACGGTGCACCTCTAAAAAACTCGGTGATCTGGATGTCAGCAGCATTTGGATACCTCTTACGATAAAGCTGCAGCCCTAGCATTGTATCTACGTTTCCCATAAAATTGGTGCATGTTGGCATATTCCTGTATGACGTATACAGACGTGGTACCACTACACAATCATGAATTAATTAAAGTGGCGTTACTATCTGTCTTTCTGTCACTACGTAGAATGGTACTGTCCGTCACTCCATCTAAGAAAAATTTCCAATTTGTAGTAATGGAAACTAAAAAGTCATCACAGGATGAAGGATCTTTCCGATTTTTTACAACTTTTTTAATCATTCCCTGATAATGATTATGATTTGATCTATCCGCCATATCCGGCTTGATGGCGACTTCTGGGACACCCGGTACACAGATTTTGGAACTTTTCCAACAAACGTTTGGAAAAGTACATGCTTTTTTTTTATCGTGATGAGCCGCGTAGACAGAAACCTATATATCGGCACCGGCAACACGTATCTTAAAAAGTGATATTTCGTCGTTTTTTTATATTACGTAGGTTTTTTAAACATTTCGGAGGTTTTGCTAAAAAATGTCTACTATATGCACACTAAAAACCTACCTAGTCTGCAAGATGACATTTCGTCGGTTTTTTGACGATTTTTTTAGGTTTTTTCCATACTCGTTATAGCCGTGCGGGACGCCGTGACTGCTATATATATATAAGAATCTTGGGAAAAGCAACCTCAGGCAGATTGTTCCTAAATGTCGACACCCTAGGAACAAAGGAGAGGCCATACCGGCTAGATATGGATGGAAGAAAGAATCCTGGAGGGTCTGTCTAGCAGGCTAAACGCAGGGTGGCATCATGAAGTTCTGAGGAGCAGAGGTGGTTGATATAGCGGTAGGACCTATTTAGCTGGCCAAAACTCAATTTTGTTAATCCATCCGCATTTTAGGATAAGTACTACCCCAAGCAAGCTAAATAGTTGTTGATTCAGGTACAACCCCTTCCCGGTAGCTGCTACCCTGATCCGTTAGAATCTCAGTTGAAATCTAGATGTCGTCGTGAGTGTACCTACTTCTCACCATTGTTTGTGTAGCGTTACGTTTTAACTGTGAATACTGCCTGTGTGGCTGTAATTATTGCACATAATTTTAATGGATTCTGAAAATTCAGGTAAGACTGCATATATTTATATAATCGTATTTCTTATCATAACTTTATTAAAAATAAGAGCATTAGGAATAATAGCTTTTATTTAAACACTTTTTAGCGTCTATATTATAATCATGAAAGCATAAAATACATTTCAGGGTGCGTCCCTGCTATATTTTTTCATATATTAGACAGAATAGCTCTTTTGCATTATAACTGTACAGAAATCAGCCGCGGTTTTTCGTGATTTAGAATTATTAAATAATAAAGTATAGATAATAGTGTTGTCCTGTTTGAATCCATTTTGACATAAATTCGCTTTTACTTCATTTCAGGATTACCAGATGGTTCCAACACTACACTAGTTACTCGGAAATCTTTATTCGATAGGATGCAACAACAAGACCTACCTAATTTCAACAAAAAATTAGAATATCTCGTAAACGACCTTTTATTGTGTAACGATTATTCCGATGAAGAAATTAAAGAGATAAAGCATACATTTTCATATTTGAAATCTGAGTTTAAGCAAAGGTGGATAAGAGCACATAAAAAAGAGGATGTGTTCTTGAAAAATAATGACAAATGGTTACAAGGACATTTCTCAATCCCTAAAGGTAAGCAGGAGCGTTCTGGTCGACCGCAAAAAACATTTTTTGAATCTTCTGAGAGAACCAAACGTAGAAAAACAAAATCAAATCGAAGTGCGATGAATACAGATGTATTGGTGCATGCAGCTCAGACATAATTACAAACTTCTGGTCAGAGGGATGCCTCAACCTTACTTAAAGACCTAACTAAATCTCCGAAGCGTGCTGAGAAGTACAAAAAGGCTTTTCCTTGTTCATGGTGCAACTATTATTGGAAAATGCATTATTACCTATCGGGTGGCTATCAGAAGAAGCCGCAGAAGCACGAAATAAGCATTTTAGGCTGTACCGTCAAAACTTTGCTAGGAAATTTTCAAAGGAGGCGTGCAACCTTGATGTATTCAACAGGTTGTTGCTAAGCTTGGATCCTCTCATGAGAAGTATAAGGCCAAAGCCGAAAAAGACAACTAAATCATACTCAAAAGAAGCCATTGATATATTGCTTCCAGCTGATCCTAACTCGATAAATGATTCGGACTCTGAAGAATTTTTCCCATTAAATAAATTCGAATTTACTGTATTCTAACTGTATACAACTATTTTATTTATATAACTCAATGATACACAAAATATAACGCATTCCATAATGTTAACCAAAGAAATAATTTTGTCCAGCCAAATACTCCTATGAGCGTCGGTGCGAAAGGGTTTCGGAAGTGTTAAGATAAGTGTCGTCAGTCAGTTGGACAACCCTCCTCTGAACAGTATCGAGTATGGGCAGTCTAGTCGGGGCGGCGGCACCCTATACAAATGAACAGTACTCAAGGTTGAATTTTATTTGGGCCTTATACAGAGTGAGGTAGTTATGTGAAGAAAAGTACTTCTTAGCCCTAAACAAATAACCTAACTTTTTCGCAGTACCTGTTGCGATGCACGAGATGTGTTTTCGCCAAGCCGGAATGAATGACGCTTTAACAAAACTCGCCATTCATCAAAACCAGACGAAGGCTAGCGCGCTTCTTGTTAGCCAATGTACAGTATCGTTATTTGGAAGCTCATATGACTGCAGTTTATTCAAATAAATGCGCACCTGGCCAAAGATATGTAGAGCAGCATGTTGCAGACTGTTAGAGCGACTAATACATGTCCGAAACATGCGCCCAACACATTCACCTCGATATCTGCATCATGTTGCAAACTGAAAAATTTTGTGTCGAACGATCCTAGCATGATACTTTTGACGGTTAGTCATTTTCTTATAACGTTACGTTTCCAATTCCTTTTTACTTTTCAAGCTGCGTGTGAGGAAGAATTGTAATCACGAAAAATTTCAAAACCGAGATACTATGATTGCGGATGTTATATGAAAAACCTCGTCACTCACTTCCGTCGGTCTGTCTGTCCGCTAACTCTTGGAGCCGATATAACTTGGCAAGTACCGGTGTAATTCTGATGAAATTTCTACAGAAGGTTACTAATATCAAGGAAGGCTTAACAGTAATAATAAAGTGGCAGAAAAGTAAATAAATTAAAAACACTCCAATTTCAACCGCTTCAGGGGCTCCGGATCATTTTCAGAAAAAAATTGTAGTGATCAAAAGTTGGTGATTGGGGATTGTAATGGGTGATTTTTTTGCTAGTATCTTTTTGGCAACACTGTTTTTGACAGATGACGCGTGAATCGTGTCTTATGTCATTGTCAAACTTGTTCAGTTTGGTCTATAATTTAACCATGAATCGACTTACGAACGAACAACGCTTGCAGATTTGTGAATTTTACTATCAAGATTCATGCTCGGTTAAGAGAGTGCATCGAGCACTGCTTCCAATTTATGGGCAGTTTGGTCGGCCTACTGAGGGAGCTATTTGGAAGATTGTGACTAAATTTCGAACCCAGTTTACATTATTGGACATTAAACCACCATCACGCAGACGTAGAGTGAGGACTGAAGAAAATATTGCGGCTGTATCCGCCAGTGTTAGTGATGACCGTGAAATGTCGATTCGCCGCCGTTCGCAGCAATTGGGCTTCTGTTACTCCACTACGTGGAAAATTTTGCGACAGGATTTGAGTGTAAAACCTTATAAGATACAGCTGGTGCAAGAATTGAAGCCACACGACCTCCCACAACGTTTCCCATTCACAAAGACGACAATGGCCGGAACGTAACTGTGAATGGCGAGCGCTACCGTGCGATGATAACAAACTTTTTTTTGCCCAAAATGGAAGAGCTAAACTTGGCTGACATGTGGTTTCAACAAGACGGTGCCACATGCCACACCGCACACGAAATAATGGCTCTATTGAGAGGCGAGTTCGGTGAACAGTTTATCTCACGTTTGGGGCCCGTCAATTGGCCGCCTAGATCGTGTGATTTAACGCCGTTGGACTATTTCTTGTGGGGCCATGTTAAGGCTAATGTCTACAGGGATAAACCAGCAACGATTGACGCAGTGGAAGCCAATATTGAAGCATTTATTCGTGAGATACCGGCCGATATGTTGGAGAGATTGTGCCAAAATTGGACCTTGCGCATGGGCCATCTAAAGCGTAGCCGCGGCCAACATTTATATGAAATAATCTTTAAACATTAAATTATATCGACCGATCTATCGACTCAAATAATGATTTAATCGTTTTTTCAAATTTTTTGTGTTTTTTTTTAAATCAAATCCTATATCTCTTGAAAAATCAGCCGTTAGGGTTTTAAAAGTTACATCTTTAGTCTTAGTGGAAGATGTTTTATTATTTATGCCGTTTTGCCAGTAATTACTGGCATTTGCCAGTAATATTGCCAGGAATGCATGCTTGCAAGGAAATTGCGAGAAATATAGATAATTTCATTATCTCTTAATTTTTGCAAGGAGCCGTGGTGACCAGGCCACATACAATGCTGCGAGTCTTTCCTTTTTTTTTGTCTAAGATCTCTGCATTTGTCTGTTTTCTCGCTTCTCTCTTGTGGTTACCTGTTTTGGCACATTTACATTTTATGTTCCGTCTTTAAATTTAAGCGATTTTTGACATTGGAGGGGGGAGGGAGATATCAGTGAGTTCCAGGTTATGATGGAATACACTGTCACATGCAACACGGTTATGGTGGTTAGGATACTACTCAGTAGCCATATTCTAGGCTTTCGCGGTTTGCTAGTAATTGCCAGTAGTACGGTATAGTACAAGCCACTAATTTGGCCTTAACGTTGTGGCAACACTGCTCTTGACCAATCTTTCACTACGCCGCCATTACGTTTCACGTCTCTGCCGGTGTAACATACTAGGTTGCGTGAGTTATAAGATCGATGCTTCGAGATCGCTTTTTAAAAAGTTTATTTTTCGAAAATACAAAACTCAAAACTGTACTTTTACAAAATTATTACAATGTTATTATGATGTAAACAGTACAAAGGCTTAAATCTGACTGACTGTAAAATGTGTTGAGAACAATAAAGTAAACTCTAGGTCTTCTAGGAAATTAGTAGCATCGTCGGCAGTATTCCTATCATATCAGCAGGAACGGCTGATATAACTCCTCCCCCCTGAGATTCAACTTCGGGGAAGAATTCTTCAAGGAAGTTGAATAGGATGAAGTTCGACTTCTGGTTGTTGAATACTTCTATTTCTGAGCTTCCTCCTCTTCAAAATGGTTTTCCAGACTGCGTAGACACCCAAGAGTAATATACATCCATATATTATCAGTGTCCAGGCACTGGGTATAAAAAATTCTGTAGGTTTTTTGAAGTTGGGTTTGTTGTTGATAATGCTTGACTTGATTTTACTTAACTCGTCTAGCTTAATTTTTTCTAGATGCAAACTGAAATTTGTTTCTGTGATGTCGCCTTTAGTGTCCAGGTTTAAATCCGGGAATATTATAGGTTGGCCCGCGACAATCGTTTCGGGTTCATTTTTGATGATTTGGTGATTAATTTCGGCTTGACAGTTGACAGGAATATAAAGTAGGTAAGTTCCCGTCAATCTTTTCATTTGCATTTCTTCGTGGCATTCCATTTTGATAACTTCTGGTAGTGGCAGGATCAATACCCATTGATTAGTCCGTTGGATTCGTTCGATACTTGGCTGATTGATTATCAGTGGAGTTCGGGCACATGCAGGGGCGTTTCTTCCGTTGAATAGTTCAAGTTCACAGGGTGATGGACCATTAATGTCTCGCAAGATGGTCTTCTCGCAGAGAAACTTTTTAGGAGCAATTTCAGTACAAATGTCGCCGAAAAGTGCAAAGTGCAATTCATTTTTCACCAAATAAGGCTCCTTTGGAATGATAGTCTTAAATTGACCTTCAAAATATATCGGGATTGGAAAGAGACGATATAAGTTAAATGACTCATAGTATGAGATTGGGAATGATAAAACGAATGTAATTTTGTTGCCCACAGAATAACTGGAGATTTTGATTATTTTTTCAAAAGTTGGTATGTTATCTAGTAAAACTGGAATCGCAAATTTTTCCCGGCCTAATCTTGAGCTCAATAGTTTCAGTTCACCAAAAATTTCTTCGGTTGTAATAATGCTAGAGTGAATTGTTCCAAGACGTGCAAAAATTACTGAATTTTCAACGTCTTGTAATATTGACAGAGTTACTTCGTAGCTGTTCATAATTTGAGATACCGTGTCTACTATGAATTTATGCTGATCTGAATCGATTGTAGTACGATGAACAGTTGCATATATGGTATTAATTTTATTGTTCAGCAATTGTTCATTATGACAGATTTGCTGAACAGTTTTATTGAACTTATCAATAAGAGATACTGACAGTGCATTATTCTGTGTGACACTGTTAGTCAATTCTCTTTGATTATTTTGAAGCTCTTGAATTAGATTTTAGAAACGTTCGCCATCATTGGCGTCAAGGTTTCCAGTTATTGATTTGAATATCGACCCAATGCCATTTAATATGCCTCTTTTTCCTCGCTTTGTATGGGGAAATATATTATGTAACTTTTGTTCTACCTGTCGCTGAACAAATTTTAATGTTCTGAAATAATTGGACAAATATGTAGTGACATTTAAATTTGAAGAAATGGTTTCTGCTATACGTGAGGAGGAAATTGATAATTTTTCAATTTCAGAAATGATGGGATTCATATCATAATAATGAATGAGTGAAAAGTCATAGTCTTTTATTTTTGCTTCACCAATTTC